TTTTTAATCTTCTTTTTTTTTTTTTTTTTTTTACCTGTTTTGCAATTTCTCTTAAACAGGCTACTCCTTGTTCAAAATTAGGGAAAGCTACCGAGCCATACTTTTGGTATTCAGGGGTTGGTCTGATTTTTATTGTAGCTTCTGTTATTACACCAAGAGTTCCTGAAAAAGAAGGGGGAATAATCCAATATGTCACATGGCAAATTTCTAAATCATATTTATTATATTAATTCATTCTATGATTCACATTCAAATGTATTTAATCTATTCTATTTGGGACATAATGTTTATGCAAGTCTTTTTAGAAAACAATTAAGCAAATTTAATGATTTCAAAAAAAAGTTTCTAGAATAAGTTTTATTTAGTTAAGTATAAATAGTTTAAAATGCTCTTAAGTAATCTTTCTCCAAAGAACTTACTTTTAAGTTGCTTTAAAATATTACAACTTATTAAAAGAAAACAACTGGAAAAACAACAGGTTTTTAAGATCTCAGATCTTTTAAGACAGTAGTATATTTTGATATGTTTGCCTGTTTCTACTGTGAAAACACTTAACTGGGTACAAAAAGAACCTAACCTTCTTGATAATTCAAGATAATAGAAAAAATATGAGGAACTAGTGTCTTGTCTTTTCCCCTAAATATTAATATAAAAAAAGACAAAAGGTATTACTGTCATGCCTTGTAAGAAACAAACAAATAAAAAAAATATATACAGAGACAAAGTAGTTCTAAGTATTTAACACAAGAACACCAATGAAATAAATGTTTTTTTTAAAAATTACTTGGGGGGTTAATTAAAGAGGAAAAAACAAGTTAAATATAACCACATGACCTAAATATCTGTGTCAAAATATTTGAAGAAATACAGCTGAAAAGGAATATATTCACAAAGCCAAGCTTTCTAAATCAGTAATTCTGATGTACAAGTGACAGAAATTATTAACACTATCAGTAAATTTTCTGAGGCAGTTTTAAAAGTTGTGAAGAGGGAAACTATTGAAATTGAAGAACTTAATTACAACACTAGAAATAAAGTACCACAAAAATCAAAGCTACCAATAAATTGATGACACACCTAGATATCAACATATAATACTTTCCAAGTTTAACAATATAGGGTTAAAAACTAGTAAAGTCCAAGAAAAGTGCATTAGGCCACAATATATTCACTACATGTACATGATTTCTGACAGAGATTATAAAATACGACCCTCTTATTGAGGCAGGCTAGAAGTAGGAAAAGTTTGGGGCTCATGTAGGTTGCCTGGGGATAGGCCAGACCTCCCTCACCTGCTGGGAACCACCCATGCCCCTCCCCATTCACTCATTATTGGTTGAGAACCTCCTCAGCCTGCCCTCCCATGGGGTAGTGTAGGTTTTGAAGGCACCTGAAAAAGAAAAGCACTCTTGCTCTGCTGGCTGACTCCACCTGTGCCCATGATGCCCTCTTCTTCCCTTGAGAGAAGGGTGACTCCCCTTCTCTCAAAAAAGCTATTCTACCTCCATGTACTATGTTTGGATTCTTCCATTTGGAGCACAAAAACCAAGATCTTCTGATCACAGAATGTACCAGCACCATTAACACTTGGCGAGCCAGCCAGGAGACTCATGGTGAGACCAGACCCTACACTTTAGAGGGTCACTCTTATTCACTATTTTTCTTTCCAGAGTGCCAAGGGAATGGGCTGAGCTCTGTCCTCAGGGAAAGTAGCTGGGAAATGTCAGATTGGGACCCAGCATTGTCGGCCAACAGGCGGGCCTCCCTGCAGGTTGAGGGTGTGTGTGTATGTGCAGTGTCTGCCCAATGTGGGTCCACCCACCCCCAACCCCCACTTCTCCAGTGGTTACAGTTGCAGGAGCTAGGCCTCAGCAGGCCAGCACTCAGTGCTTCCACCCCCCTACAAGACCAACCAAAAGTTCCACTCTAGACACTTGGCAGCTGCTTCCAGAGCCAGCCAGCCACGTTAACAGTGGTGGCTAGGGCAAATGGCAATGTGTGGCTGCCAGCAACAGCAGGGCTCAGTATTAAAGCAGTCACCCCTGGCAGCTGACGCCATGGACCCCAGGCCAGGACCACTCTTTCCTGTGGCTACTATGGGTCCATAGCGCTCTCCCTCTTCCTCCTCTAAACCATTTCCTTCCCCGCCAAGCCTCAGTTTCCCTTGGCCACTTGATTTCTCTTTGCCCACCTTCACTTCATCTCCGTATCTACAGGGGTCACAGAAACACTCACACCAGGGTCACATTCCCTTGTCCCATGGGCCCTTAAGTTATCAACCTTGGTATCTGCTGCCTCTTTCCTGCAGCTACAACTCATCTACACCCCCTCTCCCTCTACTCTGCTCCCTTCCTAATTCCTGGGCCCAGGTAGTCACTGACCCAGGAAGCAAGCTAGCCATGGCAGGCCTCAGCCATGGTGGCCATGCCACTGAGTGACAGGGCATGCCTCACCCAACTGGCCTCAGGCCTTGTCTCTAAAGTGAGAACAGTGGGGTCAGATTTAAAGGTTAAAATATTTACTAAGAAACTCTTAGTTTTGGATTATTTTGGCCCTGCGATGGTTTTGAGTTTGGGTCACTGTCATGTTAAGAGAGACACTGAGTATTTAACTGGTTCCTGCATTAATGGATGTAGAATTTCTGTTTGAAATTCCTAGCTTTTGCTCTGCCTAGCCTCTAGTTGGTTTTGTTTTGCTTTGTTTTTTTTTAATTCACTTGTAAAAACTTCCCTGTTCCAAACACAGTTTTTTAAGACATGGATTGCTCTTGGGTAAAAAGTAAATTAGTCTTTAGAGTGAATTTAGGCTAACTTTAGAATTTCCTGTGATGGCCTCTGGCTACCTAATCTTAAACAAAGATTAGTGGAGTTGGAGAGTGATTCCTGTGGCCACCATTGCCCATCAGAAGAACCAGATTCTGTGCACAAGAATCTGGCCCGGCCTATCAGCACCAGCCTGGGAGCTTCAGCTCAGAGGCCTAGAGGCATGCCTGGGAGCTGGCCCCACCTCTCAGCATGGACCTAAATAGCCCCGCCTAGCCAGCCTATGCAGCCTGCTCTCTCCTGGCACTTCAGGCCATACAGCTGTTTGTTTCTGTAAATGTACTTAAATTCTCTAAGTAAAAACAGTGCCATTTAATTAAGAATTAGATATTGGTCACTTACAAAGTATAATTCATTTATTCTAAAGGCAAAATTATTCTATTGATACCAGTTCTTAAGACTAGAATATGAGTTTTACACATATACTTAAGATAAACAGAACTTAATGGTACTAATTGATGACTGGTTTTGTTTTGTATTTTCCTCACAAACTTTACTTTTCTCTTCTGATAAAATTAGGCTTACAGTCAAGAGGTTAAAGAAAATAGGTTTTATAGGTGGGTATTTTAAATAGACAGTTTAATTAGAGGTTTTATTCTTAGCATTAATAATAATCTTAAAATTAATAAAATTATGTTTTCTATAGCTCAAAGTAATATGTCAGATTCTCAACTTGTTTAAGGCCCTTTCCAAACTGTAGCTCTGTAAATGGCTGTGCTCTACAGGGTTTAGATTCTTGGCTTTCTAGGTAATAACAAAACCCCTTTATGAGAAAGTCCAGGATCTAATCGTAAACACCTGGAGTAAACTGGACAGTAACAGAGCTTAAAGGTTTACTGCCATTTGCCTTAGCCCTAGTAATCCAAAATTTAAATAACCCTTTAAAACTAAAGGACAAGACATTATATACAAAGGAAAAAATGCTACAACCTATGACTAATTCTCTAAAACTATCAAGTGATGTCACATCTGAGCAGACTAGCAAAACTTTTAAATTCCACCTTGCCTTGCTTCAGTTTGGTCTTTTCATTAGCATACCCAACTCATGGACGCCTGTCTCTTGGGGAAAATGTCTTTTTATTCCTATAACAGACTGCTATTTTGAGTCTGTATGTTGCATGTAGCTTGTCTATGCGTTCCATTTGAGAGACCTTTTGGAAAGACTATGTGGTCACAGGAAATGCTGTCACCATGATGAAGCTATCACATGTCCAGCATCATCTTACCACTCCCTAGGAATCGAAAATTCGTGGGCGATGCAGTCTTGCCATCCTATAGGAAAATTATAACTAACTTGTGGTTAAAGTTCTCTAATTTAACTTAGTTCTTATACATGTTGTTTTTACTGCACTGGTCTGTTAAGGACTGGGCCAAGAACAGAGTAAGTTAAAGAGCTGTTGTAAACTATTTAGGAATCTAGTTGACTAATCTACTAAAGATATTGACAAAAAATGGTTGTTTAGTAAGAGTAAACTCTAAATTAATGTAATTGCTTTGTGTGTCACTGTGTGTTTTCTGTGTATGTCTTTGCTACCAATTGTGGCAACTTAATTTTTACTTTTTAAGCTAATTATGTGTGCTTATATTCATTGGCATGCCTAGAACAAAACATCTGTGTGTGTGTGTGTGTGTGTG